CAAAGTTGGGACCCAGCAGAAATACAAATGTTATCCTTTAGAGCAGGGGTCAGCAACCTTTAACACCCAAAGAGCCATTTGGACCCGGTTTCCACACAAAAGAAAACTCTGGGAGCCGCAAATACTTTTTGACATCTAAAATGAAGATAACACTGTATATATTGTTTATATTGGCGAGTATAGGGCTTTGGAGTTGACGTCACGCCGCAATGCATTGTGGGAGCGCGGCGCCATTTTCGGGGTCTACAAATCAAAACAAACACACTGTTGTTGTGTTGGAACGACGACTACAAGAAAGATGCTTCCGCGATTGTGACGCTTATTTTGAGCGACGAAAAATAATAAAATTTTATTTTATTTTTATATTTCAATGTCACAATAATCTTCCAATTTAGAACTACAAGTTTAAAAAGAACGAATACAAAAAATACACTTCAGCTGAATACTTGTAATATATTTTCCCAAACCACGCGGAGCTGCAGTATAAGGACTAAAGAGCCACATGCGGCTCCGCAGGTTGCCGACCCCTGCTCTAGAGCATGTGAGTAATACTAGGGCTGTGCTGGAAGTCTAGGAAAACAACTCTTAAGGTGAAAGAAATCTGCTTTCAAATCACTTAGCAAACACATTAACTGCTGTACAACTCTCTTTTTTATGTAATGTCAGCAAAAGCTCAAGAACAAAAGACAGAGACAAAAAGACACACCATCGTTTTTGTCCTGCGTTTACCACAGCATGGAGGGTTGTTGTTCTCTTTCTGCTTCTAACGTAATCTCTGAATGATGCTCACATTACATCAAGATGTTTCACTCCCCAACATGGGGATCTGAGGACCCAATTAATATTCAGTGCAAATATTACTATCTGGTATCATAGCAACAAGGGCCACTGTACTGGTTGTGTAAAGCTGCCAGTGAGATTTTGCAGGGAGGGAACGGGAGGGGTAAAGAGGGAAGAGACGCATACAGTACATGCAGTAACAGCAGTCACAAAAAGGGCAACATATCCATGAAACGTTTGGCTCTTTCAGTGCCACAATTAAATGTACATGCAATTTTCTCACCACACGCTGACTGTGTGACTGAATTACGAACTAATTTAAGGAGCTGTGGCATACATTGTCCACTTATCCTCCATGCACAATAATTGGAGGCAAGTAATATTGTTCATTATTTTCATAACGTGTCACTTTTAGCAGTCAATGTTGGCCCTTAAAATTGTGAAATGTTTCACAATTAATTGTCTAACATGTTAGTATTGTAATATTACAGTGGTGTGATTAGAAAAATAGAACTGAGCTCTCACGAAACAGACTTTTGTTCACAATCGCTTTTAAAAGACGAGAATGCTGATTCAACCTGTTTTCATCCTGATGAATATGAACGGTATCCCAGATTGGAGTTTCCAATCTGAATCTCAAATGAAATGCCGATGATCACTTCTGGCATCAGCATCTGGCTCCAGACTTAATTTAAACACACCACATTGACCCAAACAGACATTGGCATTGTGTCTAAAGTTAGTTTTTCTCTCTCCTCCCTGTCAGTCTCACCCCAGTAGAAGAAGCAGTGAGGTAGATAAAGCGACGGGCTGCTCCCTGCTAACACTCAAACATTAATTCTACTTTTCTGAATACATCCTTACCTTTTCCGCTATTTGCATATGTCGGTATGTTGTATACAATGTAGCTGTCTGCAGAAAATATACAAAGGAGACATGATAATGTGATGTGTTTACTGATTTTCACTGTGTCACCATGGCAGTAAGACTAAAGGCTGAGAGAGTATTGTTATATGCATAGCATATGTTCAGGTGACTTTGCAGTGCATACAGTATGTGAAAACCTGTAAGTCTGAGCATGTCTTATGGTGTTTGCATATAGTGTACAACCCAAGTAAATGTGTGTGTGAATGGTGTGTGTCTTTGGGGTGGGGAGCGTTACAGTAAACTTATATTGTTATACTATCATCCCTCAGAACTGCCGTATGTTTCAATATGGTCAGAAATATGACTTTTTACTATCTCTCCAGAAGCTATCAGTCACTCATTAAAGCACTCTCTGTAATCTCCTATAAGACTGACTCTTCTACACATTAGGGCTGAACGATATATCGCATTTGCGATAATATCGCGACATGATCAAGTGCAATTTTCTAACCGCAAAGGCTGCGATTATACTCTGGACATGTCCAAATTCATGGGCTGCATCCTCCTGAGGCCGCATTTGTAGACCGATTACGTCACAGCGACGCGCCGAAGGCTGTCCAAATTACTACCATATCCCAGAATTCATAGCGCGGCCCAGCCAAACTCCAGTTTCCAACAATGGCGGCCGCTACTAAGTTTTAAAATTACTCATACTAATCTTTCTGGGTCACAAAATAAACTTTTAAAATATTTTCAGGCGAGAAAGTAGTTGTGTAAACATCAAATATCTGCTCGGTTTATCAAGATATCCCATATTTGCAAAAGTGCTTCGACGTTTTCAGAGGCGTCTGCTACCCACCAGCTCGACAGCTAGCCGGGAGCTCGAGGGTTACTGATGCGGCCGAGAACGGCACAACTCCCGGCACATCATTTTCAGATCACCGCGGAGTTTCGCTGCTCGGGTTAAACGTAATATATAAGTCACTTAGACAACCTAAAAATGTTATTGTTGGGCTTTTTTCAGTGTTTTGTTTGTTCATGAGTAAATCGGTTTGGCTGAGATTAAAGTTATTAGATTAGATAAAATAAAACTTTATTAATCCCCCGGGTGGGTTCCTCCTTGGTTTTCACACAGCTGACTAAACGTCAAACAGAAAACTTATTAAACAGAAGTATGAGACAGTCGAGAATTTACGCCAGTGTCTGGTTATATTTTAGATAGCAAGAAGCAGACGGCCGAGTTTATTAAACTCCACCGAGACAGCGGTGACGCTAATCAGAAGGCTAGACCGTCCAATTTCACGCCTTTAAATTTTAAAGGCGTGTTTGTGTGTGTGTTTATACAATTGCTATTATGTTTGCACTTTATGTGTAATGTTACTGACTGCAGAGATCAGTAAGATGTGTGTATTTTTTATTTATTAGTTTTATTTATTTAATATTATTTTTTAATTGAATGACTGTCTAGTAGTTCACAGATGTCGAAAAACTGAGTGTGGTAAAGCCACTGATTTTGTTTATGTATATTTCTGCAATCTGCACATTGTACTGACTTTCATTTTAATGTTTACACCAGGGTTCCTTGTCAGCACTTTATGCTCAGATGTTTGTAAGCTAAAAATAAACTATTGTGTATGTTCAAATATACTGTTGTGATTGAAGAAGTTAAATAAAAATGTCAGTCATCAATTCATGCATCACCTCATGTCATCATAACAGAGGTCTGTCTTCCAGGAAAGAACAGTTTAAAATTAATGTAATATAGTATTGGCCATACTATATGATGTATTGCTTGTCTTTGTTTAATAATACAGAAGACAAAGACCTTAAAAAATAATCGCATATCGCATCGCAATCGCAATATTGGGGCAAAAAATCGCAATTAGATTATTTTCCATAATCGTTCAGCCCTACTACACATCACACTATAGTATTTCCACAAATGTCCTCCCTTATGAATAACTGAAGGAAACTGAAGCCTGAACTTGTGCCTGAGGCAGAGCAAGCACTTGTGTTGATCTGCCAGGGTCTTTTTAAGAAAGCTGTGTTGGTAGGCTTTTCAGTGATGCTGGCAAACAAATGTGAGGTATCACCAGGGATGCTGAAGAATGTAAGCACGTTTTCTTATAAACACACCGTAAAAACACGCCGCAAGGTCACAGGGGGTTGTGTCTCTCAGGGTTCATTAAAATCCACTGTATTCTCTGTTTTTATGCTATTTGGGTGTGACTACAGTCAAATAGTCTTCACACTAATTGAGTGGATCAGTTACATTAAATGTGATATCAATTGTCCTCAGGCGTTCCCTGCTTGACAGAAACAAATCTATGCAAGAATATTTTGTTCCAATCCATTAATAGAAGCTAAAGGTTAGAGATAAAATTTGCAACAATACTCATATTTTCTGGGCTATTTTTGTCACTCCCTGAAGAAAAACTCAAATTACTTTACTTTTTTAAAAGTTTTTTTACTTTACCTTTGATCAGGTGGATAATAGATATGATTGAATGGGCAGTCCCCATTCTGTCCATAGCTAGACTGGGTTTACCTCTTGCTCAGTAATAAGAAAATGAAATCCCACAACGTGCTTACACCTTGAACACATCTCTTTTTTTTCTATGATGCGTTCATGGTGTAGATGTAAATAAAGTTTTTGTCATGGCGCTCAGCATCACGATTAAATTGAGTAAGGTTTTTTAAGTGTCAAGTAATTTCAAATGGATTTTTTCAACAGATTTAATAAATATCTACACATTTGTACATTTGGCTGGCAGAAACAAATTGTTTCTGTGCAGCATCTCACAAATAGTGTCTGCAAGCTAAATGTACAGTTGTTGTAAATATACAACACTGAAAGATGAGTGCAGATGTATGAAAGAGAGGAGCGGGGAAGCAGATGAGAGATTATTTTTAAAGGTGAGGATTACTCAGCAAGTGAAATTTGATATGCTGGAAATTTAAATCTTATTTCACTCACTGGGCCCACGTTCCCATTTGAGGTTTGACAGTGTTTTAGTAGATAAAGGTGAATGGCTTGGACATTAATTGAGCTGCGGTTTTGGAGAAGGCTTCGAAGGGGATTGGGGTATACCAGTTTTGTGTTTCAGAATAAAAGTCTTACCCTCTTTAGGGTCTTTTACTTCAATATAAAGAATCTTGAGGCAACTGTTGTTGTGATTTGGCGCTGTATAAAAACATGTGCTAATCAGAATTGAGACGCTTTGTCAGTGTTGTTATTCATATTCTTATTATAAAAAAATATTATCTTGGTGGCATAAGTGTGGAACAATATAGGAGAAACAGAGGCAGTGCGACCACTTGTTCTTATTGATTTTTCTCTTGTTTTCTGTCAGGGAAAGGGAGATTCTTTCGTTTCCGTCTCCCAGCCTTACCTCTCCTGGGAATCAGCAAGCAGTCCCTGCCCCAGGAAGACCCTGATGCCGTCATGGTAGACTCTCCTCGCTACAGTGACGGCTCAGTAGCAACACGCGACTACCAACTTCCCACCACTCGAGAGAGCTGCAGTCCCTCTTACGCCAATGACACCCGTGCCCTCATCGGCCCCAGCCACTGCTCAACCCCTGTGTCTGAGCCTTTGGACCACTCGTCGCCTAAAGGCCCCTGGGACCGGATGTACCCGGACCAGGCCGTTGCCCAGACAAAAAACCAGAGCCAAGAGGACACGCTTATTGCAGCTCCATCAATCCCAGGCCTTACTCCAACTGCCTCCAGAGAGAGTATGTGCAGTATTCGCAGGGCCTCTTCTGTACATGACATGGAAGGCTTTGGGTCCAACTCTAAGATGGTGTTCAGGGACCGGCATGCCAGTGAAGGTAAGAGTGTCCTTTTATACATTTTCAGATATGCATCAACAGTTGCTGAACTGTATATATGGTATTACTTAATAATCACTTTGTATTTATTTTAAATGCTTTAAACTGGTAAACAAAGTTTACATTAGTTTACATTAAACTGCAAAGTGCACAGCACTGGTTGATGATGTCTTGTTTATTGATTTGTTGAATTGATGTGATATAAGAAAGAAACAAATGTAATTGATATTTTATTTACAGATCTAATCAATTACTAAGACTGTCGTCCTAAAATATCAGCTATGTGGGGTTCTAGTGAATCCTCAGTAGATGGTCACATCTATAATCTGTGGTATTGATCTTCCACCTTTTGGTCCTCATTTGGTTGAGGGTAGGAGTGACCCATACTGGTCCTGTTTCCTGCAGCTCAATCAGTCTCCTCCAATTGCCTCTAATTCCTATTTAGATACATTTAATACATCTACTTCCCTGTAATGCATTGTTCACAGGGACAGTAGCGGGTCGTTAACGGCAACCCCCATTTATCATCATAGACACCCACAAATTCTTCTCTCACCTCCACTCCCCTTTTTCTGTCTTCTCCCCCACTCTGTTGCCACCTTCACAGATAATGGTCGCAATATCAAAGGTAACTAACGGCAACCTGCTGCATTTTCAGATCGTGAATAGCAGCATGTCTAATGATACACGTGTACATGTCAAAGCCTGCTTGTTGCATGAGTTTTCCCACAAAAGGTTCATGTTGTATGCAAATGCCTCAGCAGATGACTGTGTTTGTAAGTTCTTTGGCCTCGAAAGACACTAAATGACTACACGACCTGCCTAAACCTAGCCAGCCTCTGTAAGTGCTCACTAAAAAGAAAACACAGTAACCTCTGCACATGCTTGCATGGAAGCAGCACATTAAACTTCTCTCCTGCTTGTTGTTCATTGAAGAGGATAAATTAATGCTTAAGAAATGATGCCTCCTACTGTCTTTAACCTTTGCTTTCTTGTGTGCAAGCTCTGGATCTTGTCTTTGTGAATGGAAAGAAACCTGACTGTTTACATGCTTAATTGAACTGTTGCAGTGCTATGTTGAATGCATAGTACAGTACATATTCAACCAGGTTCTTTAAAAGTCATATGCTCTTTGTAATCAAATGGAATACACATTAATAGCAACATTAGCATCATAGTCTGCCCTTTTTAATCCTCTAAAGGTTTACTGATAGAGCCCCTGTCAAGCTCTATTTACTAGTAATGCCACATTATTGATATGCTTGTACCCGAGACTACTGACCCAACGTCCCAAACACCTTTCCATAATCCCACTTTCTCCTTTACCTCCTATTTCTTCTCTCTCCTGGTTGGCTAGTATCTCGCTCCTGGATGGCTGGGGGTATGGCTTCAGCTTTTTTCTTTTCAGTTGTTTTTTTATGACGGCTTTGATGTATCCTGACTGTGGCATGTATTGAAGCTGCGCATGCACTCTTTCATCCTCAACTGTCTGTTTCTCTGTCCTTGACTCTCAATCACTGTGCTTTGTGGGGTGGGCAGTGTATCCTTCCTCTGCTGGTTCACGCAGCTGAATTAGCAAACTTCTTGTTTTCACTTTTCTCACTCTCATTGGGCCACATGTCAGTTTGTTTAGCGCTATCGCACAGTTCCGTTTTTAATATGATTGTGTTCTACATACAAAGTGTTCACTGATCATACTACATAATTTTATCTATACAGTGAGTTCACTGCACTAGATTTGGCAAACTATGGGAACTTGCACTCTCTGATTGCACATTAAATCATTCTGTTTATTCACCAACAGTGTTGTTCATTATGTTTTAATGAGAGGCTCTGAAAGGCTGTACAGTTTATATTTCAGCATCTTTTGTATTCTCGGTATTGTGTTGTGGTTGAAGTCACTCCAAAACTAGGAATCACTCCATGCTCACTACCCATGTCGCAACTACTTCCAAATAAACACTACTGACAGTGCATAACAGATCAACAAGAGCCCAGCTATAAAACAAGATACGGCATCTTCTAATAATAACACCCACCCTCTGCCGTGCTCTTTTTTCAGGACCACTCAGCCAAATCAAATCAAGCCTGCTTGGCTCAACTTCCGACTCCAACCTCAACAAGTACTCCACCATCAACAAGATTCCCCTGATCACGCTCAACTTCTCAGAGGCAAACAATGATAAGAAGTGCCCCTCCCCTCCATCCTCTGAGAAAACTATCATCGCCCCAAAAGTCAAAGATCGCACTCACAATGTCACAGACAAAGTCACACAGGTAAGGACGTGAGCCAGTTTCAAGTTTGTGAATGGGGAGAAAAATTGAGGGCCTGTAATTTAGAATTACAGGCATAAAATGATCTGTTGGATCCTTAAAATAACAATAATACTACCTGTGAGACCTGCAAACGCAACAAAAATGTTTTCATTGGATTTACATCCTGTCAGCCTCATTTTCTTCACTTGTGCCTTGTGAGTTTCTATTCTTTCTATTTATTTATAGTCCTGTATTCCTATTGATAGTTGACAGTCTGTCTGATTACGTATGTTCTCTGGCTGTGTTCATCCCCTTGCCTTTGATGCCAGTGCTTTTCCACTGTGTGGTTTTCATATATTGCTCAGGCCAGTTTTAGTTTTTGGATTACCTTGTTCCTTTGGAATTATCCAACCTCAGTTAAACAGTGCTTGCTGTGTGTTTGGTCATCTGAGGACTCATGAATTTGGGTCTTCAAACTGTTATGGACAGTGCGAAGGGAATAAAACATACTACATCACTGTTTTCATTCTTGAAGAAACAAGTAGTAATTTCAAGGTTTTTGCCTACATAAAATAAAAACAAATGTATCACCCAAACAAACAGAGGCAGCACTGCAATAAGAATAACAACATAAATAGGACTACTCAAAAAATCAGGAATAGACTGAAATGTCTTGGGCCCTTAGTCTGTATTTATTTGTAATGATTTTAATAATAAAGTCTGTGCAGACTGGAGAACAGTGAGATATTAGAATTCTAATATAATGTTCATCATATTATCATTTATGATCATCACAAATCAGACTTGGACAGATTGAGCACTTTATCAGCAGATTGCATGCACACTCCCAAATGCCCTCAGTCAGCATCAGGATGATTAACTGAAATTCAAGGGATCTGATACGTAAAGCATTGGAGGTGTCTATAGCCAAGTGTTCTCTTACAGCTGTCAGACAGCATCCAGAGCTCAGGCTATATTTCTAGAGTTACGAACAGTGTAAGAGGTCATTCTCACCTTTCCTGCCAGGACTGAGAGGCATGGAACTATAAGTTAATGTAGTCCTAGGAGTAGGCCAGTGCTGCTTGAAACTGCTGATTAGGTCTCAGTTTTGCATTTTGCCAATTAATGGTGTAACAGATAGAGGACACAGAAACTGACCCCTGTTTGCGCTCAAAGCCAATTTCAGCTGCAGGCCTTACACTGACGCCAGAGGCAGAGGGACCACAGAATGGCACAATGTCCTCTCACACAAGTGCAAAGTAAGAGAGGGCTTAATATGGTTTTAATTGACTTGGGTAACATGTGGTAGAATACAACACCTCAGAAGAGTTGCTGCATGAGAGTGGTGAAAGCATCAAGAAGCTTCATACTTCCTAGAATATAACTGTAAAATATACTTTTCCTATCCTATCACTTTCCTTTACAGCTTAGATTGGTAAGCGGGTTTCTGGACACCTGACTTTGACAACCAAGTGACAGAAGATGTCTTGAAAGCAACTTTGAACTCATCAGAGTTTATTTGAAGTTATAATTAAAGCATCTGAACAGATACACTCTCTGTTGGCCTTGGCCACCTCACAGGTACTGCAGCCAGATGGTGGCTTCACCCAGGAAACTGATCAGCTAAAAAGGAAAGCAGACTTGCACCTCACAGGCTGTTTATTACATTTTGAACTTCTCAGTGCACGTGTGGCTAGGGCTGTGCAATATGACCAAAATCTCATACCCCGATATAAGAATTCTATCGTCCCGATAATGATATAAATCACAAAAATGTAACATTTTCTGTAAATTCTGTGAATCTCGGGCAGCTCGACTTGCGGGAAGTGTTTCCAGCTGCGCGCCATGTAGCTGGAGTCGAGTGTTTCAACCGATGCATGAAACTATACATTTTTAGACACAAGTTGTAAAGGCCGCCGTTTTCTTTGTGAGTATTTATTACACGGCGTGCTGCGGGGAAAAGCCTGTTCTAACGTTTGAGTCTAAGGTTTATTTTTTAGCACCTGGCGGCTCTTTTTTAAATTCTCATCCGTAAATAATCTGCTCTTTCACGTGATCCATTTTTTTTGGAAAAGTCTCAACAGGATCTTGAGCTTTACTGTGAAAGGTCGTTGCAAAAGTTTTGCGAGATCCCGAGTTTACAAAAGTCTGTCTTAATTTTTTTTTCTCCCATGTCCCCAGCGGGGCTCCGTAGTTGTTGCTAACCACAACGCATAAAAACATGCGCTTGTCCGTCAGTAGTGTGGTTATATAAAATATAAGAGAAAGAGAGAACTTTAAGAAATTAATATAGCCACTACAGTGACCATCAAAACGATGAAAAAATATTGCCGTAAACAGTTTATTTTGCAACACCACGAAACAAACGATAGTGTAAAATGAAACGATAGACATTTTTATATCGTCATCCGATATATATCGTTATATCGAACAGCCCTACGTGTGGCTCATCCCCATATGAGGCTCAAATGACCGCATCTTAGCAGTTTATACTTCTTGCGGTTATCTGAGGTGGAATCTTGAGTCAAATAACGGTCTATGTACTTCTAAATGATATCTCAGTGTGCACTGTGCAGACCAGAAAAACCAGAAGAGGGGAGAGCTAATGTTTATTTGTGCTTGAGACCGAGACACACACAGAATGTGCTTTCCATTAACCAGCAAGAAAGAGTTCATTTGACCAAGTGCACATGGCTACTGTAACCAGGTTAAATAATTAAGATGGGATCATTAATTTAGAAACAGATGTCTACAACACTTTGATCTAGAACTGTCACTCTGACAAATCAACCAACTTTCTCAGGATTACCAGCAGGTTGTGGGATCATGTGAGCGATCGGGCCACAATCGTCCTTGGTACAGCAAGTGTCAGCTTTTCTCAACATTTATACTCCTTCCTAACAGAAATCATTTTACAAGAATGGGAATCTAAGGTGTTATTTCAAAGTCAACAGTAATTAAACTCTGAGTTAAAACCATCACTTTAAGCATCCAGCTTTAATGAAGTGGCAGCTTGATGAATATTAGAGCGCATTCCCTTTGCCTGTCCTTTGGTTTCTGATCGATTTCAAAGGTTATCCCATATCAGAGGGTAAAAGCGTTTAACCCTCCTCCCAGAGGGATGGGGTTTTTAATAACCAATTCAATTATTAATACCACGCCACATTGTGCTATACGTCATCCTTCTGTTCTCCGGTCCTACCTCCCCAGTTACAATGGTTAGAATAGAGGGGTGACAGGGCACCGATAGAGGAGCAATGAAAAATATGATGAATGCCAAAATAAAGTCACTTAAGGCCCTCCCTTCTTGTTTCATTCTCGTGCTCACTCACATACATCACATCATAATTGTATCTTTGCCTTTGTAGTGCATGCAATTTACCTGCACACCCACCCATCAAACCTACCCCCTCTGCCATAATCAGCAGTGAAAATGAAAATTTGTAGCTATTGAAGTGTTGAACACTTAGATGAATAGCTGTACCCCTGCCTGCACCTATAATTACCTCCAAGTCACTGAGACTCTTATCTGAAAAAAGTCCCATGACGCTGCTTTAATATTCATGTTAAAAGCTATTAGGTTCTGTAGTTTATATGGTGACTGCAATAACAGAGATAATTATGTTGACATTCAGGCTTGCCGGAATGGATTATACCTCCAGTCTTGATGATACATTTTGACATTTATGCATGCTCTTATTTTTCTATATGCAGTTGATGCATCGTCATTTTATTTTGGTTTGATATGTTCAGTTTCTGTTCTTATAAACAATATTCTTACAAATAATAATAATAAAAGGCATCACTCCCTCAACTGAAGCTTCAATTTTAAGAGTTTCTGTAAACAGGCACTGGAGAAGTATTTATTTATTGGAAATCATGCCTAAAGTAATGTGCAAGATGTTCTTGTGGATGACAGATAATGGTGAAGTGCATTACATCTGAATCTATATGATGTACAGCTGCATTATTCACACAGCGATAAGTCTTTTCTTTTGAATTTTACTTGACCTAATCTAAAGAAAATATACATTTTGTTAATTCCACGGCTTTACGTATAAGGGCATTATTAAAAAGGTCCTTATCAGGTCTTACAATTTCAGATTAACAATTGATGACTTATTACATGTTGTCTTTATGATATCAAAGCCAAAATAAAACTAAGTACACCCCATGATTCAGTATCTTGTAGAACCACCTTTAGCAGCAGTTACCTGTTTACATCATTACTTTAGTTCAACGAGGTTTGTGGCCATTTGTTTTCCATGTGCTCTGTAACATTGATGTAGGCTTTAACCTTCATTTAAACATATTCCAGTATTCCTTATCTCATCTTATCCTAAATTATCTTTCATAAAATATGGCATGTCATTGCTAGGATGTTATCACTTACAGTCTAATTTCTTGGCACTCTCCCACAGATGTTGGATAATCAGGAGTTTTGTTTTGTTTTTTTCATGTGGGGTTGACAGATCACATGCACCTTCGTCTGTTTTCTTCTGTTTCTCGTAGCCTGTTTGTCTTTTTCATAGCAAATTTGATTTCAAACTTAATTAAAACTAAACTTTTTTAAAACTTGAGCCACAGTGACTTCTTTAGGATAGTGAAGATATCCCTCCTGTCATCAGAGGCTTCTTCAGTTTTAAAACAACTGATGGAGAGTCCCAGGAAATTAACCCTTAACCCTCAGACCAGAGGTGGGCAACTCCAGGCCTCAAGGGCGTCCTGCAGGTTTTAGATATCACCCTGGATCAACACACCTGAATCAAACAACTAGTTCATTACCAGGCCTCTGGAGAACTTCAAGACATGTTGAGGAGGTCATTTAGCCATTTAAATCAGCTGTGCTTGCTCAAGGACACATCTATAACCTGCAGGACACTGGCCCTCGTGGCCTGGAGTTGCCTACCCCTGCCGTAAACCAACACCTTGGGGGTGGTGCTGAGGGTCAATGACCCACTATTAATCATGCGGGTTATCACATGAACCAAGATGTGAAAAAAGGCGGGGTCATTACCCCCTCCAGAACAAAGGTGTGAAACCGCTAACATTACAAGGCATCACCCGAACCCACCGTCATATGAGCTCTAGAGGTCACCTCGATGGTTTGTCACAGTGGACGTAAATGGCCTCCTTTACTCCAAACCGTCTTTCTTCTCAGTCCAAACTGTGGACATTGTGTACTATAATTTTTAGCACACCGCTTCTTCATTTTAGCTTAATAATTATTCATCTAACTTTATATTTACCTTACTTTAAGAGCTGCTAAGGACAAGTTGATTTTTAATATGTACTGATAGTTATCACCATGACTGTATGCAATTCCACTTACTAGCATGCCCAGCAATGTAAGAGAGCAGACATGCAAACGCTTAGTGTAAATATTTTCAAATTTTCTTGTATTTAACTAAATTTCTCAAAAAACAGAGCATATTTAAGATTGTTAAGTGCATGCAGTTCTTAGATTTGTTGCACCTTCACAAAGTAGAGACTCAAAGTGGCAAATAATAAGTTCTGACTCTTAATCAAAAACAATGCTCATCCTGTATTTCCTGTGATGCAAATCTACTTACAGACTCTTTGAAATGTCCATGTAGTTAAAATTTTAATCCTTTCGCCTGACCCTTCACTCTGAAAATATTGCTGATGGTGTCGTAAAACAGAAATAGAAATTGAAAGCTTCTCCCAGGCACTGCAAAGGCAATCAGTGAAGTCCTCAATAAAAACAAATTTGCAAAGAATCTGCAAGAAAAAGCACCGTATTACACTTTTATTTCCCAAAATGTGTGTGTATTTGAACACAGATAGTGAATGTTAAAGGCAGTAAAATTTTAAAAGTTCTCTTTGTTTTTCACTAGGTTCTTTCTCTGGGTGCCGATGTGCTTCCTGAATACAAACTCCAGACACCACGGATGGATAAGTGGACCATTCTTCACTACAGTCCATTCAAAGCAGTTTGGGACTGGCTGATCCTGCTGCTGGTCATCTACACGGCCATTTTCACCCCCTACTCTGCTGCCTTCCTCCTCAATGACATTGAGGAGCAGAGGAGACGGGAGTGTGGTTATTCCTGCTCGCCCCTCAATGTGGTTGATCTGATAGTTGACATTATGTTTATAGTGGACATCCTTATAAATTTTAGGACGACTTACGTCAACACCAATGAGGAGGTGGTCAGCCACCCAGCCAAGATCGCCATCCACTACTTTAAAGGCTGGTTCCTCATAGACATGGTGGCTGCCATCCCTTTTGACTTGCTCATCTTTGGCTCAGGATCTGATGAGGTGAGGATTTATTTCGTTTATCAGTCAGTTATCAACCAGGCAGAGTTGGAGATGATGACAGTGATGACCGAGTATCTGACTGCCTTTACAAGAAAAGCACTTGAACTCACAGAATAAATCACAACTCACTCTAAAGGTCTTTTAGAACACGAGATAACATTGGTGGGTTCATCCAACCCTATTTGTGTCCTCTCCCAGTCTCCAACCAGGGATCTTTCACCTGTTAGGCAAATGTGTTAACCACTACACATTATGGTCACTAGTATCTCAGTTCATCTTGAGGTGAATGTCGTTCAGGTGATTGAGGTTATTACAGTTCAGCAGTAACAATAGTATGTATGGTCCTTCTTCTTCTTCTTCCCTTTAGGGGTCACCACAGCAGCTCACTGGCTTTCATCTTGCCCTATCCCTAGTATCCTCCTATTTCACACAACCCTCTGCATATCCTTCAATACGTCCATGAATCTGTCTCTCTGATTTCACTCATTTCTTACTTCTTCTACTGACTTTCATTCATCTTCTCTCCAGAGCATACCTTCCTGTTACGTTTCCTCTAGATCCACAAAGACAGTGCAGCTCCTTCTGATCTTCTCCATGCTTCTCCATCAATACTCTCAAAGCAATCATCACGCCTGTTGTGCCTAACCCTAACCCCATCTCAACATAAGCCCATACACATTACACATTGATCGTCGCCCCTCTTCTTAACCTAGCTTCTACAACTCATTCTCATTGCTTCATGACTCATCAGCGTTATCCATCTGTAGTTCTTACATCACCCTCATTCTTGTAAATCGGTAAAAGATTGTATTACATGCTCTAGTTAAACAGTTCGATGCCCCACAAGTATGTTATCTGGACTAGCTGCCTTTATGCTCTTTAACCTGCTCATTTCCTCCTGACTAATCCTCTGCACTTCCAGATTCACGAACTTTCCTCCATCTTCCTCTCCTACTCATTTGCATAATTCAGCAGCTTCTTAAAGTACTCCGTCCATCTCTCAATACACACTCTTCCAATTCAATTCAATTCAATTCAATTTATTTATACAGCTCCAAATCACAACAACAGTCGCCTCAAGGTGTTTTATATTGTAAAGTAGACCCTACCCTACATACTACAGAGAAAAACCCATCAATCATATGAACCCCCTATGAGCAAGCACTTTGGGGACAGTGGGAAGGAAAAACTCCCTTTTAACAGGAAGAAACCTCCAGCAGAACCAGGCTCAGGGAGGAACGGCCATTTGCCGGGGTTGGTTGGGGATAGAGAAGTCCAAAGGGATTTTTGTACTTAATATCCTCTCTGTCCTCTTAGATACAGATCAACTCCTTGTACAGTCACATTTAAATAAGTACAGAACACATTTAAATAAACTTAATCAGTAGATTAATGAGTAGGGGGGGGGGGGGGGGTCATTTTTACCTGAAATAGCTTTGTGAAACCTAAATTGAAAAGAACTCTTTTTTTACACCATGAAGCTGCTGAGCATCAGTCCTGCCTTAGTTACCCCTGTGTCATCAGGCTACACTTTGGGCAGTCTTTTTTTTGAGATGTTATCTTGAATGCTTAGACTCCCAAACCAATCTGACACTTCGTTTTCGCATCTGCTTCCCTCCGCTCTCTTTTCATCAGAGACAGACTCTACGGCCCCAGGCCATCCAAATCTTTAAAAAGGTCTGTGCCTGCCCAACAGCTCTGCTTGCAAGTCTGAGGGAGATGGCTTAGCAAACTCCCGCTGCTGAGAACGGGGAGCAGCAGAGGACATAATTACTAGCTTGAGAATATACAAAAAAAATCAGATTAAATGAAACATTTTTTAATTATTTGCACTCCAAAATAAAATTACATACATCAAGGTTCATTTAATATTTAATAGTAAGAAAACATTTTAAAGGAAATACAATATTCCAATCCTTTACTGCCCCAAACACATGCATTTCTCTTGTTTCTAGAGCGGGTCTGATTCCCAGCCCCTTCCTTGCATTTTCAAATCAATCCAGGAGCAAATCTGGCAATGCAGTCCATTGCAATGTGTGAAAATTCCAGGTTCCACGATACGCAAAGCAATACCTTCAAAAACACACATAAAATTAGGATATATCCAGGATTAAGGTGTGTATTAAGAGCAAGGTCCTGATCTGATGTCAGCCTACTGGTTTGCCAAGTCTTTATTTACCATTAGGTGTGTGTTTCTTTGAGGAAGTACATGGCTAGAGGCCACCAGTGAGTGGCGGGCAAGGAAAAAAGAGCAGACAGCTGAGCGACACCACAGCACAACATACGTCCTCATCATACAGCCAAATGACTTGTGCAGTGACAGGATGTGTTCTACTTACACACAGTGTCAGGATGAGGCAAAAAAAAAAAAATTGTATTTTTACCTCCTCCAATCAAGAGAAGCTGAAAATAACATATCCATGTACATTTTTAGCTCTGGTCTTTAAGGTGTGTTATTTTAGCTCACTGTGCAGAAACAGGAACTATTTTTAGCCCTAATTTCATGCACTTTTGTTGCCTGGAAACCACATCTGACAATGTGTTAAGAGTTTTGTTGGGTCTTTTCTGCTGATTTTATTGGGTGCATATTCCTGGGTGATATCCTGCTTTGATTGGACTTGGCTGCAGGCTGGCACACAAAAGAAAATGATGTGGCTTCGAATTTGCCTGCAGGACTTGTTTCAACTCCTCCATCATTTTCATATCAATGTCCTGTTGTGATAAGATCAGATAGTTTGCATGTTATGTCCACATTCACATGGATATAGTGCCCGCATTTGACACATTTGCAAACTATGGAGGATCCCTGAAAAAAGTGAACCTAAATCACAATTCAAATGTCATTCACCTGAAATTCTGGGCAGACCACTGTAAACCTGGAACAAAGCCAAAATGTCAGGGTGCGTGGGTGGTTACATACATCTCTTCCGTGCCTGGTAGTAAATTTACATAAACACTGTGCTTCCAGTGTGTCTAGCTACTTCATGACAGTTCCACAAAATTGATCATATTACTGTATCTGCCCTCCTGAAAGAGACATTTATGATTACAAATATTAAATTAACCCTTTAAGGTCAAGTGAACAACACAAGCAAATCCTCTTTTCTATAACAGATGTCCTGTGAATATTTTCATGCAAATCAAGTGAGGCGTGTGTAATGGATTGCTTCCCGGCTTCACATTCTGTCTCCATTCAGAGGGTAAATGTGCATTGTTTTCCCCTTGGTTAAAGCAGACTGTACAAAAATGCACTCCAACTCCATTATGCTGTAAAACCTGCAGCAACGGCTGTACTAAACAAAGAGAAAGGAGGCAGATTCGTTGTAACAGGCAGCCCCCTCAGTCTCGCTTGTGCACACAGGAAGGACAGACAGATTTGTACTTGAAATTTTTCTGCAACTGTTCACTCAGACAGTAGACACTATAGTTGTGGATAATATGTTCTCTTTATAGATCACATGAAGAAGGGAAACATTTGGGTGATTATTGGCTTGTTCTGTGCCGTGCAGAGCTCTTGTCGGATAGAAGGAATGTGACCACTTTGAAGACAGAAAGTTATATCACACCCTTGGTTGACTCTTGGGTTTTAAAAGTGGCCAGGGGAGCCTGCAAAGCTACAGTGGCAGATGACCAGAGGGATATTTGGATATTTTCTGGGTATTTTTCATATAGTTTGTTCCTAATGTTAGCTTTAGCTTCACTCTTAGCCCCAAATGCATTCAACTTACTTTAAGATTTTAATCAATTTTACACATCATACAGCATGCACTGTGTCATCTGTGCAGGTCACTCAGAGTCACTTGCATGCTGGATAATTTGAAGCCCATCTGTTTCTATACAAGATTCATTCACTGTTCACTGTGTTGTCACTGAAAGGGAACACTGCAATGACAGATGGCTGTGATTTAGGGGTGAGATTGGAAGAATGGAGGCTCTTTAATGGACCCATCAGAAGCAGCTACAGCACTCTTCCTCAGCATGATGTAGACGCACTCTTTCTCATCAGTCATTTGCTTTCAAAACAAAACAACAAACAACAAGCCCCCTTCTTACTTTTTAGTGCTTTGAATAATCAATGTCGTATTTGCTTTCACCTGCATAGGCAAGCACAGAAGTGACGAAGCACAGTTACTAAGGTTTGTGCTTCTTTAAGGATATTAAGATAATTGCCAGGTGTGATAGGGAGTGGTTGGACCTATTAGCATTTTCTTGTACTGTGTTTACAGATTGCTCCACACTAATAGCCGCTCCACTCTCACGTTACACACTCTGTATTCATTGTGTCAAAAATGGGGACACATTGGCACACTGGCTTTGAGACTTTGATGGAGGTTCCAAGCTGGTGATATTTTTTGTTTTTTTTTAAGCTCATTTTGCCATCATCATATGCAGTTATCGAAAAGGTTTTTTTTTTCATCTGCCAACAGATCAATCACCAAAGCAACCTTTTCTCTTTCATACGCTTTTTTGGCATGCCAGTTAAGAAGCCAGATACTTACTGACATTTTATGATTTGTAGAGCTTGAGGCAGGGAAGTTGTGCTGACACCAAGGGATGCTGAGACCTTGAAAGATCTGTTTATACCAGCACGAATGATCTACTACTGTATGTTGCAAAAAGCTACACCATATGTTTTTGAGTCGGTAATCACTTATAAGCTTAACTAAACAGTGAGTGAACCTAATCACTGATGGACCGATAACCATTAGAGCCCAACTGATTTATTTGCAGACCGATATTATTAGCCATTATTAACTTTTCAAGACTTTCATTTATAACCCCTGATAAATAAAAAGAGATGAGAGAAACTCCTTTTAGCCATGTTTTGAGTGTTGTATAATTTATCAATTTGCAAGTTCCCTGTTCTCAACAGGTAACGCCATAGTTCCCTGTTTCCAACAGGGAACTGGTCCCTGTCGGAGATTAAATAAATAACTAAACATTACAAATCTTAGGAACTCTATTTGTGTTGCGTGAGCCTAAAAGAAAAAAAAAATAGGAAGTTTTAAATAGTAGGATTTTTTTTGAAATCCCTGAATACCTACACATCCCCAGATTTATCACCCAGTAGAATAAGGACATGAGTAAACTACCATCACTCCCTGTATCACATATTTTAGCACATTGTACCATGTACATATCCAAACGTAGAGTATTTAAAACACATAGATTTAAGTGAGCGTGCACTTCTCTGTTTTCCAGACTACCACTCTGATCGGTCTGCTAAAGACGGCCCGTCTCCTACGGCTTGTACGAGTGGCCCGTAAGCTGGACCGTTACTCAGAGTATGGTGCTGCTGTCCTCATGCTGCTCATGTGCATCTTTGCCCTCATTGCACACTGGTTGGCCTGCATCTGGTACGCAATTGGAAATGTGGAGAAGCCTTACCTGGAGCATAAAATTGGCTGGCTGGACAACCTGGGGGTGTCAATAGGTAATGTCTGTTGATGATAGTTCCTTCCCTCAGTTCTCTATTTTAAAGCTGAATTTAAAAGTAGGATAGAAAAATGATTATGTTGCATTTTACAGGGAAAAAATACAACTACAGTGACCCAAGCTCAGGTCCTTCCATCAAAGATAAGTATGTCACAGCACTCTACTTCACCTTCAGCAGTCTGACCAGCGTGGGCTTTGGGAACGTTTCCCCCAACACCAACTCTGAGAAGATCTTTTCCATATGTGTTATGCTCATTGGATGTGAGTGATAACTGAATGACAGCACATACAGACAGTTAGGAAAGACATAAAGCCAAACACTGAAACTAGTACTGTTTTCATTTTACATGAAAGATCCAATGTATTTTTTAAATATAAATAAATGCACTGTTAAAACCTGCTGATATAGCATAATTGGAACATAAAGGATTCACAGTCCACATTCAGGACATCAGTTTGTGCATTTCTGGCAGTAGCAGCAACTCCCAAGGTAGGTGTTATGTATATGAAGAGATGAACCCATCTGTACTCAAAGGTCACCTCTATGGCTTCTCTCCCAGCTCTAATGTACGCCAGCATCTTTGGAAATGTGTCCGCCATCATCCAGAGGTTGTATTCAGGTACAGCCAGGTATCACCTCCAGATGCTGCGGGTCAAAGAATTCATCCGCTTCCACCAGATCCCAAACCCACTGAGGCAGAGGCTGGAGGAGTACTTCCAACACGCTTGGACGTACACTAACGGCATCGACATGAATATGGTACGAGAGGGATGGTGTTTGCACTGGTACGGAACTATAACAAAACTGGGATTGCTGTTGGGTTTTTCTCTCTGCTACTTCTTCTCCCCCTTTTTCAATTTCATTTCTGTGAGTTTGAAGTTTTGAACCCCATTTCTGCTCAGTTTCAACTATCTTGTTCTGAAAAACGCTCTTACCACATCAGTGTGAACCTATCTTGCTATGTCATTGGCATAGTGCAATGCTTTCATTATCCTGTGCAATGTTTAGCCTTAACCAAGTGAATGAAAGCCACTGTTACTGTGTGTGCATACAGTAACTCAGGCTTTTGTCATCATGAACTGTTCATGGTACTTATATAAGTTTGTTTTTTCCATGTCTGCCTCATGTCAAATGGAATGACCCCACCACTCTGGTAAGAGCAGGAGGTACATGTGCTAACACAATGTTTATACGGATGTTCCTCAGTCTTAGAGCTTCACCTAGCTGTGTCTGACATTAGTAGTGTAATGCTTTGTTAGTTTCTCCATGAGACCATCAAATACACCATGTCAAGGTTTTATTAGTGCCCCAGACATGCATGTAATTAATGGACGTGTTCTGTTCATCAGGGTGTTACACAATTTACTGTGCATATATGGACATATAGCTATTTTGTACACAACTGTGGTGAAACCATACCACATATATTTTATCGACTTGTGCATGCCTTTATTAAGGAACACACACGTAATTCTTCATGTTTCTCACAGGCCCCAGTAATCGTCTATCATTGGTAGACTTGCATGTGGCCTGTCTTGAAGTTCCTTTTGCATGAAATCTGTGTATTCAAACACAACCCCATGATATTCATCTGGTACCAGAGAGAGTGAGTGAATCATGCCTGTGAGAGTGGGCACAGCCTCGCTGGGCACTGCCAGGTTTCCCTCCCACTGTGGGAGGCTTGGCTGCACGCTCCGCGGCGGCACCTGCGCTTGCCAAATGTTGTTCAATCTTTCCTTTCCAAATGTACTAATCAGTTTTTGTTGCGAGCAACAAAAAGCATGTCAGAGCCAGAAATCCTGTTCAGGCAACATTTCTTTTGCTGTGCTTGTGTCATTGTCTAAATGACAAAAAGAAGAAATGTCTTTGTGATGTCCAGTGAACTCAAACCTCATTTTCAAGCCTTTCAGTCTATGAAAATGTACACTTATTAATAGTCAGTTCAAGTTGTCCTGGGATTTTTAAGTTTTTTGTCAGTGGTCGCTGGGTTTTTGTTTTTTTTGGGGTTTTTTTTGGGGGGGGGGTTATGTCTTTAAACGGTAAGTGCAAAAATAAGTTTTAATTTTAGTTCAAAAATAATCGCCTCAGGTCACTTTTTACTGTAAGGTAAATACTGTACAATCGAGAGAAAAACCCCAACAGTGTTTTAACCAAACACCTGGTGACTGTGGAAAAGAAAAACTTCCTTTTAACAGAAGTTGAATGTGATGTCACTAGAAATGGTAATTGTAATGGTAAATGTGTAGGAATGCTTCACATTTTATCGGTTCAGTATTTTTTAAATGGTATTTGTTTTTTTATCCTTTAACAACAAACAAAGGGTCAGAGTATTGGAAAAAAAAAATTATGAGCGTTACTGAGGTTAGAATTCTTAGAGGATTCTCATTATGTGAGTACATAAAGAAACAGACAGAAGACTCAAATGTCAAATCTGTGTTTTGACTTTGTGATTTCATTTATCTACAGCTTTACAGTCTCTAAATGTTCTGTTTACCTCTTATTTTAAGCTCCTCAGAGGCTCACTAAAACAGTAAAAAGACATTGCAGACTATTTCTACTGCAGGGTTTTGAGAAGAAGGAAAGAGCACAAGTGGCAACTGTATTAAATTTCTCTGGAAGTCAAGTCAATTCGACCTACTGCTTCACCCCAAACCCAAAGACATAAAATATAAGAAAAAAGAACCATCACATCTTACATAATATACTACCTCAATACGTCTGACCATACACATGTGTTCTTTGACTCAGGTCCTGAAGGGTTTTCCAGAGTGCCTACAGGCGGATATCTGCCTCCACCTCAACAAGAATCTCCTCCAGGGCTGTAAAGCATTTCGCGGAGCCACCAAGGGCTGCCTTCGGGCCTTGGCCATGAGGTTTAAGACGACCCATGCGCCCCCTGGAGACACGCTAGTCCACAGTGGAGATGTACTTACAGCACTCTACTTTGTTTCCCGTGGCTCCATTGAAATCCTAAAGGATGACGTTGTGGTGGCCATCCTGGGTGGGTCTGCATTACTCATCTAAAGATTTACGTTAGATATGAATTGCATTCACATTAACAAACATTAACTTTAAAAGCAGCATGCTTTAAGTTAGTGGTTTTTTCTCTTTTCCATCAACCACCTGCTGATTGTAGGTTTATATAGATGGATGTCAAACTTCTTGTCTTGTCTAAGTTTAACCAAAGAGCCAAAGTATAACATTTTGTTAATAATTGTTTTTGATTGGCTTTCAGCAACAGAAAAAACATTTTTTCTTCAAATCATACTCTCATGTCTGAGGGTTTGATGAATTCTAGTGCTGTTACAGCCAGCATGAGCTTTCACAGTGCAGAAAACCCGCTGACAACAATTCAGCATCCAAGTATGCAAACATCTAAATGTTCTTAATTAGTGAATAACAATTGAATCCAGCTGATGAGCCAGCTCAAAAACACTTTAAAAGGAACCTCAAAAGAGTATGACTGATAGTCCTGTCAGTCCAGTCTGGTCGGACTTGCCTGAGTACACCTCCATCAGTGTAGATGCAGGTGGGCCAGCTAAATGAAGATGGCTCAGTTGTGCTATAATAAGGCTGGGCTGGCAGCTGAGCTCCCTATCGGGTATGTTGTTTTAACTTCAAAGAAAATTCTGATTACTGCTCCCTCACAGGCATGCTCAAGATGAAGGGAGAGGACAGAACACAGTGGGGGGGGGGGGGGGGGGGGTACATATAGTGGGATGAGGGTAACAGAGAATATGTGTTAATGGAAAAAAAAGGGCACGATTTCTTTCATATAGAGACAAATGACAAAAGAAATGGGGAGGGATGAACGAGTGGGCAGGTTAGAGAGAAGAGAAGAGCAATAGAAAGCAAAGAATGTGAAGTGACAGCGGAAGAAAAGAGAGTAGAGAAATTTTGTGTGGTTGTCAGCGTGGTGTGATGTAGTGCTTGATGACAGAAGCCGCATTCTGCTATCAACAGCTTCCAGATTTAATCACAGCAAATCTCATCTGGTCTCCTTGTTTTTCTCATCTCAGCTGTGGGCAGGTGTAGCCTGCTGAGCCTTTTATACGCTTGTTTTTCATTAAGGGCTCTTTTCACACAGCCAATAAGGTCTAGAGAAAGCACATGACACAATAGGGTTAGGATAAGCAAGGGCCATCACATGTAAGTCAGCACATTCTCTGCGAGGGCAGTAGATCAACACAAAAATAACACAAAATGTAAATAAAATCTCATAAATCCATATTTTAGTCAATATGAAACAAAGTTTTATCGTTATCATTTTAAGAAAAACAGGTGGAGGAACATTTTGCATCTAATTAGCTTAATTTGTAGCTCAGTAACATGTTTGGTTATAAGAAAAGCATCAGAGGGAGAGTTTCTTAGGCAGAGGTTCCCCAGTCTGCAAAACACTGCATCTACAAGTTATATATGCTATATGTTCTCCAGTAACTTTAATTTAATTTCTTCTGCCAAAAATAAATGTCCTTCATAAGCTGAAAGATGACACTTCCTGTGTCAACCTCCCCACTTGTTTCTTCTTTAGGCAAAAATGACATCTTCGGAGAAATGATACACCTGTACGCAAAGCCGGGGAAATCCTGCGCAGACGTGCGGGCGCTAAGTTATTGTGACCTGCAAACCATTCAGAGGGAGGACATTCTGGAGGTGCTGGACATGTATCCAGAATTCGCGGACCACTTCTTCACTAACCTGGAGCTCACGTTTGACCTCCGTGATGAAAATGCAAAGGTAACTTAAATAAGGCTGGCCCCACCGATTATAGCAATATAGGCTTTCATATTCAGTTCTATTTTAAAGAAATTTCTGTAATCGCTCATTTGCTGGAAGACAAGAATGAGAGAGTACTAATCGCTGGACAGAAGACATGATGTGGGAGGTTGTAATAACACGTTAAGTGAGAGAGCAGCATCGTGTGTGTGTGTGTGAATCCAAATGAGCTAGTTTTATCTTTTAAAAAGAGAGCTGGGAGTGCACTTTGTGTTGACCTTTGGTTATTTATTTAGAGAACTGGAAAGCAGAGAGGGACGCAGAGCAGAGGTGACACATGAGAAGAGCGTGCTAGGATTACAACAAAAACAGCAGAGACATGGTGTTCCAACAAGACAGGCAGGAGTTTATATTGCTTAGTTAAGGAAGCTTGTTGTTTTAATACCAACACAATTTTTGTGCTTCTAACATTTTTACTTCTAGAACAACAGAGGCGAGTGACACAGATATGGCACAGACTTTTACGCTGGTTCAGTCTGATCATACATCATCTCTTTATAGGTGACCTACTCACAAGAAACTGATTCTAACATGGATGACTCCAAGTGTCGAAAACGGGTCTCATACAGAAGGAAATCCTCCACAGGTCAGCGTGATGCACAAAAGCACTACTGTTGGTGGTTTTAAATGGGAAACCCTGTTTATTTTGCATCTGGATAACCAGCACACATGCTGTTTACTGTTTACTGTTACCATAGCAGTGCCATTTATTCAGCCAGCTAACACCTCAGACCTGCTGCACCCTCATTTAAATATTCCTCAGAAACATGCTGCCAAAACTGATACATACCATGGATATCTTGGCCTCCAGTAAGGTAAGTTATAAGGAGCAGTGCCTAAAAGTCGTTCCTGACCATGTAACAAGTCTCTAGTAACAACTTTAAAATGCAGAATATTGAAAAAATTAGAAATGGCTCTGCACAGAAAGTCCACATTAGCTAGTCTTCCTTTGCTTTTTGTAAAATCCAGAAAACCCATTTAAAATCCTCATAAAATCCATCTGATCTTTCAGGCCCTCTATCTTAAACACCTCATAGTACCATGTTATCCTTACGAGCACTCTTCAATACGCCTGCACGGCTTACTTGTGGTTCCCGCAGTTTCTAAAAGTAGAAGGGGAGGCAGAGCCTTCAACTATAAGGCGTTTCTCCTCTGTGGAAACGGCTTCCAGTTTGGGTTCAGGAGACAGACAGTGTCATAAAGCTTATAATTAGGATTGGATCAGGTGCCTGAACCATTTTTAGTTATTCAGGTTTTAGATGTGTCCTTGATCCAACACAGCTGACTTAAATGGCTAAATTACCTCCTCAACATATCTTGAAGTTCTCCAGAGGACTGGTTTAAATGATTCAGGTGTGTTGACCCAGGGTGAGATCTAAAACCTGCAGGACACTGGACCTGGAGGCCTGGGGTTCGACACCCCTGGGCTATAGGCTTGGACTTCCAGAAGATTGTTGTTGTTGGTGGTTGCTCTTTGTTCATCTTGTCTTTCTCCTTATGACTCACCTGGCCTCAGCAGGTGACAGCACCTACCTGAGCCTGGCTATGCTGGAAGTCTTCCTGTTAAAACAGAGTTTTCCTAATACTCCTGCCCTGTCCTTCCTCACCGGGGATTGTCAGATTAATGACAGAGTAATGTGAACATTCTCTCAGTTTTAATTTATTTACTTTCATTTGATCAACTTCTGAAAACTTAGTCATAAATTTTACATATAAAATTTGACAATCACTTTAAACTGTAAGTCTAAAGTCTGCAAATTCTTTTCACTGTTTTAGACACAGATCTGTTTGGACTTGTGTAAAAGAGAGACACACAGCATGTAAATCTGCCAAATCAAATATGGAACTACCTGCTGACGTGACCCTTGTGAGTAAGGGAGCATCTGAAAGTAGCTTTTATTAATAATTAACAGTGAGCCTTTCATCCGAGCAACAGCAGCTGCAATTATGGATCTTATGACTAAATGACCAAAGTTTGGGTATTGAATTGTCAGCATAATTTGAGAGAAATGATCTCCAAAACCACTGTTACACTCTCTGTTTAGCCTTATTTCATGTTTTTTTTTCTGTGACTGATGTTTCACATACCTGTACCTATCACAGAGACTCACATTCAAATGAAGTCATTTTCCTATACATGTACCTGTGCACAGAGCCTAGGTGGAGCTGAGTGTGAAGCCTTTCTCAGACCTATTTTTAGCACATCTATATTGTATCCAGAAAGATTCCAGCATTTTTTTTAAGTGGATTGAAACCACATTTGGACATTTCTAGAGAAGTGTGTCAGTGTGGATGCTAAAGTCAGTTTACAAAGCGTCTTTTGTCATGCAAAACACAGGACGCAAAGGACAAGGTACACATGCAGAGCTGCTTACTTATTACACTGTTACCATAGCAACTCATTCAGATAGCCGGGCGACATGTAGACACACGAATCCAATCTGATCACTTAACCAAATAACAGTATTGAAACTGGGCCTTAAAAGGAAGACAGCAGGCAAATCAGAGTTGCCTGATGTCTTAGCAAAGCATGTGACCTCCCTGTGTCAGGTCAGAAACTCATGAGGGCTAATGAGAATGAATTTTGGGTGATGTGTTTTTCAATGCTTTGGATGTGTTGAATGTCTTCAAGAATTCAACATTTAGTTATCACACGGTGGCCTTTTGGCACACCGTCCACTCTGTAGGAAGTCATGGTGACCTTAGCTGCGAATTCGGTTTTTCCTACAAACATTTTTGATTCTCAGGACAGTATTTTAAATAAACAGGTCTACGCAACGATGCCTCCAGGTGGTGTTTGAGTTACACTGAAGCCCACTGATGCTCCATTTAACTTGCCAAAGCTGCGCTTCCTCATTCCTAGCCCCTTCTCATGAATGTGTGCTGACTCAAGTGCAATGACAGCCTCAATGTTAATAAAAGGGGAGGTTTATAAAATAAAAAAAGCTTATTTCCAGAAAAGATACTTTAATAAAGAATGTTTTCTTACAGTTAGGCTGGGTTATATTAGGTTTCTTTGTGCAGTCATGCTCAATCATACAAACTGAAAGCAATTCTCTGAACCTTCCTATTTGCTGCGGCACTGTTAATGCATTGTGAAAGTGCTCGGCACTGACAAGCTGGACTTGTTTTGTACTTTTCTGAAGCTCACGCATGACAGAATTTAAAATACAGAGAAGTCTAAACAATTTCATTAAACTACATTAATTAATCCATCTTTTGTCACTGTCACTGGCAACAACATACAAAAAGAGAACCTCAACAATCTGACAGACCATTTTAACAGGAAGAGGCCTCTGGCTGAACCAGGCTCAGGGAGGTGCAGCCATATGTTGACTGGTTGGAGTGAGGGGGAAGAGATGAGTGGAAAGAAGAGCACAGAGAGGCTACAAACAACAAATGGGGAAAATGGGGGGAGGTGAGAATAGATAAGTGCTCAGTGCATCTCCCAGCAGAGCCTATAGTAGCATAACTTGTTTGGATATCCAGATCCAGACTTATATGGGCTCAAAATGTGGTCAAAAATATTTTGTACTTGTAAATCGGTTTTGTATGTGTAAAAAAATTTGTGTGTGTGTAAAAAAGATTTGTATGTGTAAAAAAGATTTGTGTGTGGACTTAGCCAAAAAAACCCTGCAAGTTACAAGTACGAATTTTGACCCTATTTTTCTTCCTTTCATCTGATTGGTCAATGTCATGTCAATCACAAATGTAACAATCCAATCAGAGAAGTCCCTATATTAAACATGTAGACCTGTGACACAAAAATCACCAAACTCAGACGACCACAGACTGTTTTCCTTCGTGGTGATGAAGGAAAACTCTGGGTTGGCATGTAAAAGGGCATTTATTCCCTTCAAAGACCTGCAGTTCAAAAAAAGCACCCCTCAGACAGCCAAACCCATCTGTTCTCTGATTGGATTGTTACATTTGTGATTGACATGACATTGACCAATCAGATGAAAGGAAGAAAAATAGGGTCAAAATTCGTACTTGTAACTTGCAGGTTTTTTTTTGGCTAAGTCCACACACAAATCTTTTTTACACATACAAATCTTTTTTACACACACACAAATTTTTTTTACACATACAAATCCTGATTTACAAGTACAAAATCGATTTACAAGTACAAAATATTTATGACCTCATTTTGAGCCCATAGACTTACTCATAACCTGTAGGAAAAAGAAGAGTTTAAAGCTTAATATGAAAAGTAGGGAGCATGTCTGTCTCTTAAATCCAAACTGGGAGCTAGTTTCACAGAAAAGAGATCCAGTAGCTGAAGGCGCTGCCTCCTAGTCGACTGTAAAATAAAATACACAAACAAGTCTGCAGTATGAGAGTGAAGAGCTCTTCTGTCAACAGTTGATACTAAGAGATTTTAAAAATATAATGCTTCATCATCATTCAGTACTTCGTACGTGAAGTGGAATATCTTTAATTTAATCTAATTGGTCACCATGGTTACGAGTCCTCTGTCACTGGTGTCACCATCTCATAGTATAACACAGGTAGGGACAGAGAAAGTAGCTAATGGTCCATTTCACAGTCTAGCAGCTGGCATATCTTGCCTACATCCATCAGGTGTGAAGATTTAGACCTCACTTCAGTTTGGAATGAAAAGCTCATGTTCACTATTCATTACTGCTGAACAAGCTTGCCTTGTAAACACACATTTGGAACACATTATGATATAATGCACAACATTAACAGGCTAGATTGTGCTTTAACATTGTTTGTCCTCACTTTAATCCCAAAGCAAGACACGTGCTACTGTTGTCAGATAACAAAGGCAACCCCCACATCCCCAGAGGAAGTCAGTGTTCCCCCAGCAGGTTTCCTGACTGCACTTTGTGCCCGTAGGCTCCCAAAACCAGGACAACAAGGAGACTGCGGTCACCTACTGCAACACAAAGCAGACGAGGCAGATCTATGCTTCCTCGGCAGCTGAGAAGAGGAGAGAGTCTGCTGAGGAGGGAGAGGATGATGAGGATGAGGAGGAAGAGGAAGGCAGGGAGGAGGAAGAGGAGCAGAGGCCCTTGTGTTCTGGTGTGCTGGGCTACCCGGTGGTAAGGGACCACGCCCTGGGCCTTGGGTTGAACAGTGCTTCCAGTACACAGGCTGGAGACAACGCACAGAACCAGGAATACAAAGGTGACAGAGATGTCAGATGTATTTGTTCCTACAAATGAAGAGGTTTTTTTTTTATCTCTCCATCAAGTAACAAGAGATTAGTCTTTATTTCTTTCCTGTCATTCAAATAAATGTTTTTTTCTAACAAAAACCAAGTGGATAAAACACTAAAGAAACATCTGGGAAATTACTGACATTGTTCAAATACACAGTTTCCTGTAAATCTGGGGGGTTTTTCCCTGTAAAGGTTGACACCAGAATAAGTAATTAACTTAGAAGTTCATTTTCAAGAATTCAAAAAACCCCAGTTAAAAAAGCCTGAGGGGAGGATTGTCACATCTATTAAAAATCCCAAAAAGGATTATGTGTCATGTTGAAACCTAAAACCAACTCAGTAATAAAATGTTAGAGGATTTTATCCAGCACTTGGCTCGGGACACCCCTTGTGACTGTAGGTTCGGGCCAAACTGAAGGATCTGTTGGAAACATGTTGTTAATGTGAATGTTGTTAATAGGACTGTACCGGCTGTAAACGCGCAGCAAACCGATACAGAATCCTCCTATGCATTCCGATGCAGATGCAGCTTCCACATAAACAGCTGCATCTGACTTCATTTGATCTGCACTCTCAGTAGTCAGCTGCAGTCACCTTAAATCCTCCATAAATTGGTTTAGTATAAACACACGCACAGGGCGCTCCTGAATTTTAACTGCAAGTCAAACTCAGCAGGATTCCACACTGACGTGGGAAATCTGTGTCAGTGTGTTGGTTTGATAATATCCCACAATTCAGATGTTACAGCTGTAAGAGGATTTGTTCTGGAGAGCAGAGTGATATTGATTCTTACAAACTGGCGAGAGAAATGCACAGGAAATGTCAATTTAATCTCTAGCAGAAACCCAAAAGAGAGGCAGGAAAATCCCACTGAGGTTGTGATGCAAGCTGGGGTCAGATGGGTGTTTTCCTCTCCAGTGTAAATGTCAGGAATCAGAAGGTGGTAAGCTGCTCGGAGCTCAGTAAAGCTAAATGATGAGAGGGCACAGCACATACAGTGCTTTCCCTGAGAAACCATTCTAATAACACAGATCGTTTCTTGTGCACGCGTGTGTATGCGTATTTATCTCTGCTTGCATGTCTTTCCCTCCAGAGCTCCACCCTGACGAGTGGGTGCGTCAGCATCCCGGTGAGGCTGCGGAGGAGTCGGCTCACTGCCAGGAAACACCAGCCAGGGAGGATGACAGTGACACAGAGCTCACCTATGGAGAGGTGGAGCAACGTCTAGACTTGCTGCAGCAGCACCTCAACAGGTGCGCAAGGGCAAAGGGGAAGGGTTTTGAAACAGCTTGTTGGTCATGTCAAACCAAAAGACTGCAAATGCTCTTTGTATCGTCAACACTCAGGATTACGTTGATACCGAGACTTCAGGCAACTTTAGCGGCTAAACTCAATAGTGAATTTCTAAATGTGATATAGCAACAGCAGCAGGAAAAGACCAGTTTATCAGTCAATGCTGGAGCTGAAGCTGAACGTCCCTGCAAAAGTCTGCTGAGCAGAATGGAACATGATGTCAGTCCTAAACACGTTACTATCTACATATATAAGTATATATAGCATAAGTATTTTTTTTTTTCATTTTTCATTTCATTTATCATTAATCACCCAAACATGCTGCACATCCTTTCCAACTCAAGCGCTCTGCCTAGCCAGTCAGTAAAAGTCCTTTTCGCCTTCATTAGTGCCTAGGATCACATAGAAGTCACTGCAAGCCTTCTGTCTCCATTCTTCAACTCTCTGACTACTCAACTTATTCTTAGCTAACCTATTTCTTTGAATACATTCCTGCACTTCTCCATTTCCCCACCAAGTACACCAAACAGCTTCTTGGCAGCTGTTTGGTGTACTTTAGCTGTACTTTCCCACTCATCGGTAACACTTCCCTACAAACCAGAGCAGGTCTCTCTCCCTGAACTGTGCATACGATTCTTTCATCCTCAGCTTTATTTGTACTTGCTTCCTCTTCTTAATATACAGTAATTTCCTATAGACTACCGTCTGATGCTAACTAGCGACATTCTCCCCTGACATAACTTTGCAGTCTTCTCTTTCGGATTCCCCTTCTGCATAAGATGTAATCCACCTGTGTTTAACTTCCTTCATTCTTAGATCACCCTATGTTTCTCCCTTTGTGTTTACAGCCATTTCTGTCCATTTCACAAAATCCACTACCATCTGTCTTTCTCGATTTCTCACTATAGCTATACAGCATGCCCTCATCACCTCTGTTCCTTTCATCTACATGTCTATTGACATCCACTCCAATCACCACTCTTTCGCCCATGGGAACAGTCTTTACTGCTTCATCCAACTTACTCTAGAATTCCTTCTTCTAACTGACATATTCAATCTGTGACACTGACAACATTCAGCATCACCCCTTAAATTTCTGGGTTCAAACTCATGATTCTGTCTGCAACCCTCTTCACGGTCACATTATTCACATACTTTTCCTTCAAGTTGACCCCCTTCTCCATTTCTCTTCCTATGTAGACCACGCATTTTGATCTCTTCTACTTTTTTTGCATTGTTGAAACCACTCATAGCTCATTTTTATACCAGAAAGCTAGCTTTCTCAGTTAATCCCATAAAAACTATAACACATCCTTTTTCTGGGGAGCAACTGCCAAATCACGGATGTCCTGTTTTTAAATAAAGGAACAAAGAAAAAAGCACCAATATGTAAACTTTCAGGCTTTTTTCACATTTTGAACAGTTTTGGTTAAAACTTAAACTAATCTATTGGTCAGTACTACTGGCCAATCAGATTTACCATCACTAGTCAATGTTACAGGAGCTAAATCAGTGGAATGCTATTTCAGGATTTTTCAGGCACTTAACCTTTGGATTACTAAAGACACCTCTGGGATCATGTTTGACTCAATTTTCTATAATAGGCTTTGTATTTTTCAGCAGCTTCTTTGAGAGCTAGCCATGTGAATCCCATAATTCTGCCTATAATTGGCTAAAACTTGCATACACATTTTAGGCCAGACACCCACTGCAGCTGTGTTAATGCAGAGAGTGGACCATGTGAGCAGCTGGTGTGATTCTGGGCTGGTGCACTGATACAGATGAGGGGGAGGAAGACAGTTAACGACTGTCTATTTATAGCGCAGAGCCAAAAGATACAGACAAATTGCAAGGGTTTCGACGTCATCCTACGAGGTTTGGTTTGTGGAAGTCACAGTAAAGTTGCCAATTGAAGGAGATGGCATTTGTTAGCAACTGTCTCACAAATCTCACATGAAGTAATGAATTGAAGGGTGGAACTACTTGAGTTTCTTCAATATTCTGCTCACTGCCTCTCGGTAGAAATTCTGGTCTCATCACTGCTGAATACCTTTCAGCCATTTATGCTGATTCAGTTGATGGGCAGGCTTGGCCACCGCACCACCAACCCTCATTTACCCTCACAGCAGAACCGAGACAAAGTGTTTACTTCCACTCTGTCCTCTGGGTGAAAAAACCCCCACTCACCTGACAAAGTACCAATGTGCTCGAGTCTGCACTGGAAAGCTTCTGTTTTGCTCGCTGTGTTTACTGACTCTCTTTATTTTGTACTGAAGGACAGAAAAGGAGTGTGTAAGCAGGGGGAAAAGAGGTGATTCATCACCTAACACCCTGTGGCTCATGATGTAACTTGGTGCATAAGGTGATGCAGCAATCTCCAGGAGAAATGAAAAACAGTTCATTTTTATAGAGGATTTCATACTTTCAAGTGCAGATATCACAGAATCAGGTTCAAAATCGGCACAACAGTGAGGGAACTGAGCACTGGGAGCACTTCTTCATTATCTACTACTTCACATTTCCACTTCATTTTGGAGGGAATTACTAGACTTTTTACTAGCGAATATCTTTAGCACACAACTCAGAATATTTGAATTATCTTTCCTTATTTATTGCTGGTGAAATCTTTAATGCATCAATACATGCACACACTATATGTGTTCGGTCACACCTTTGAGAATTCCTCATCTTCCTGAAGGCTCTGCATTTGAGCAGGATCATACTACCGGGAAACTCTTGATTGTCCTTACTATATGAAGGAAGCTTTAAAGCTCCCTCTAGTGTTCCATCCATGGTACTGCACTATACTGTGGTATGCTTTTTCTGTCTGCATATTCATTGTATAACAGTCCACACACTGCATAACTTACACTCTGCAAAACAGTTGAAATTTACACAAATACATTTTTTAAAATCCTGGTAGTAAACTGCACTACTGATACACTGATACTATTACTGCAGACGTTGGGGATTTAGTAAGAGTACTTTAGTTCTCTATCATATCAAGACTATCTCTCCACTCTGTTACATATTCCATATGTATGGGGTATAACCCCCACATATGAAATATGTAACAGAGTGGAGAGATAGTCTCTCGCTCAGAGAACAAGGTGACAATGTAACCGTATGTTGTGTAGTAATGATTACCTATAATGGTCTTCCTTGCTGTCACAGCAACAGCGAGTAGCCATTACCAGAAGACTTCTCTTAGAAATAACAGCTGTTCATTTGTTCGGATCTCATTTAATTAAAGTTTTTGACTGGTGTACTCAGAACTATCAAGCAGGAACTCATCACCTGTTTGTCATCAGTATGGAAATCAGTCTTGATTGAGAGTTCTATAGAACCATTTGATTCATGTTACAGCAGCTTATGAGTGAATGAACATGGCGCAATAAAAGTACTTTTAGAAGTACGTCTGTGAAGGTTCTCAGTCATCCAGGTCATCGCAGTCTAAGGAGCTTGGAAAGAAGATTTAAACCCAGTGGGGGGTTACTCCCACTAGGTTTATATCTGGGACTCTCCACCATTTGACCTTAGAACTGAAGAAGCTTCTCGGATGAGAGGTGAAACGTCTTCAAGCAACTTAAAGAAGTCCAGACGCTTTTAGAAGTACATTTTTCCAAACATTTACATTTACTTACATTTATTTAAATTTACTTAGGTAGAGTTAGGGGTTACCACTTTCTATAGAGTCTTGCTAATTACCTATTAATTTTGTTTGACACCCCTGATGTCGAGCATCAAAAATGGGGGAACTCCAGGCCTCAAGAGCTGGTGTCCCCACAGGTTTTAGATATCACCCTGGATCAACACAACTGAATCAAGCGATTAGTTCATTATCAGGCCTCTGGAGAACTTCAAGACATGTTGAGGAGGTAATTTCGCCATTTAAATCAGCTGGGCTGGATCAAGGACACATCTAAAACCCTGCAGGACACAGGCCCTTGAGGCCTGGAGTTCCCCTCCCCTGATGTAAACAATCAACTATCAAGGCTCATTGTTACTTTGTTGAAGTGAACTTTTGTTCTGCTAATATATTTCCTTCAGATGTGTTTTCTCTAATGAAACACAAAGATCTACAGCATCCAAAATGGAACCACTGTCATGCTGCTTTTCAGTTTATTTCATGTTTTGTGGCCATCAGACTTGAGTCCCAGATGACTGCAGACATCCAGGCTATCCTGCAGCTCCTTCAGAGGCAAACAGCAGCCGGTCCTCCAGCTTATAGCACCGTCACCTCCAGCCCAGAGTACCAGAGGCCAGCCGTCAGGATCCAGCTGGTCTCTGCCATCGATGTGAGCCCTGCTCCATCCCAGCCGCAGGTACAGCAGAAGCTTAATGAGTGGAAACGCTGATTTTCCCTAACACTGCCACGGTTTTCAGCTGGTTGTCACACTGTTTTACAATAGCTTTGGCTCCGTTTTTGTGGTAAATTTCAAATCTGTATAATCTTAAGATTCTTGTTGATGAATTCCAATCATAGTTTTTGTGTTGTTTGGGGTTTTTTTTGTAATTATTATATAATTAAATAACAGTTACCAAAAGTCAAACCAAATAGCAACTACCTTACCAAAAAGAGCTTAAAGGGGTCATTTCCTCTACATTTACTTAATGTTTACTTAAAGCAAAGATTACACAGTACATAACCTGCTGTTCATGTTACGGTCCCTCCATCACAGGTCAGCAAGGAAAACATCAGTTAGGAGTTATTTTGGAGCATAGTAGAGCAAACTGGTTAGCTGTGATGGAGCTCTGCGTTACACAAATCAGAGAACACCAGTGGATTTTGCCCGTCATCACTCAGCGTGCTGCTGTTGTAAAGTTGGAGCAGCTTGCCCTTCAAAATAATATTAAATATTGATCTTTTATTCCATTAAATCCAGTTTGATTTATTTGTGGCAGCAGTTCACAGTTCACGGTCCTTTTACATTTGAAGGTAAATAGCCTGAAATGTTATAAGATTTATTAATAATACTATCCTTATGAACCAGCAATCTCCTGTGACGAGCATCAGAAGCGTTTGTTTTCAAAAGGCCACATTGACTTTTTTGCACTATTGCACTGTCTTGTTTAAATCGAGCAGGATGGACTCATTTCAGTCATTCGCCATGAGATCTACTAACTGTTTTTTGTTTTTGTTTTGTTTGTTTTTTAGTTTTTAGTTTTAGGACATCAGGAGCCTGATTAGGAAGCTCCATGTGCCAGTTCTGAACCTCAAGCCATATTTTGCCCTTGTGTGTCCTATGAGCAAAGCACTGGTGATGGTGGGGAGGAAGAATTCCTTTTTTTTTTTTTTTTTTTTTTTAAAAAACAGGATAAACCTCCCAGGAGGACCAGGTTCAGGAGAGGGCAGCCATCAGGTGACGTAAAAAACAAGAGAGAGAAAACAGGAGCAGAAAGACAACAAACAGAACGAATCACAGAGAGTAGAAAAAGTTAATGGCATGCAGTAGTGGCATATAAATAAAGAGGCTACTGGACAGCAAATAAAATTTTTCATCTCCTGTTATTATAGGTTTTGTATTATAGGTGGATATTTATGAAAGCAGTGTTGAAATAATGCAGGAGAGCACCTATATGGAAGGACAAAATTCACAGTAAAATTTAAATTAAATTAAATTTTTATTATTTATTATTTATTAAAACTAATAAGAAAGTAAGTGAGATAAAGCCTTGGAAAGAACTACCAAAAACCACTCCTACGTTGACCGGGTGTCAGGGGTTTATATCATGTGATAGAAAGTCGTTTGCTGTGTGTAGTCTTTCTTTAATTTCTGTGGATTTCCACTGTACTGTTCCATCCCCAGAGCCCCGGCTCAGAGAGAGCCCTGAACACATCCAAAGAAACCTCCCCAGTCCTTCTCCATGCAGAGACTCATCCCAATGGGGACTTAGCTGGACTGCTTGAGAATAACACCAACACTGAGCAGAGAGACATCCTAGACTCAGCAGAGCAGCAGCACCACCAACATCCACTGAATTTCCCATCAAGCCGGCAAGCCTCTCTACCAGATGTCCCCAGCAGCTCAGGAATGTTGGGACTCCACAGGCCAGTCTCCGACCCGGGGCTTCCAGGGATGTAGCCCCCACCCCCCACTCCAAACCCTTCGACAATGACTGAAGGTTATTTCTAAAGCTTGACTCAGGGTTTAAGAAAGAGACTAAATATGCAAAGGTTAAAAGAAACTGTAGACTTTCTTCCATTCCTTTTGAGAAAACCCCCTAGCTCCCTCCTCCGTCCCTGCCCTGTGCTCCAATTTAGATGTATAAAATCCATTTATACAGAGGTATTTATACACTATATTACTTCCACGTGTAAAGTCATCATCTACCATGTACATAGTTGAAATAGAACACTGCCAGCAACTCAAGGCACCTAATGTGCTCTTCCGAAAAGATATGCATGATTTTTTTTTTTTCTCATGTTGTCTTCTGTTGCATGTTCCTCACACACAGTGCAAACCACCATTCATTCAGGGGTGGCCTCAGCACGCTCACAGACTGCACACAGACTGTAGCCTTCCACTCTCATTTTCCACCACTCTTCCCTCCTCACAGGGAACAAAGCTACTTGAAACTCTTTCCAAGGCATTTCTAAACTTAGCACAAAAAGTATGGAAATTTGTGTTTGGTCAATTATTTCTTTGTTGTAATAATCCTTCTTGCTAATAAATGTTATACTGTTGGAACGCTTGTTTATTTCCCTTTAAATAGTGCCACATTTGTAAGGAAAATGCATTTGTGGGTTGAGCAGCAGTGTTGAGCAAGTGGGTTGAAACTATGAAAAACACGCCAAACCAGTTTATCTGTTGTCTTGTTTGGTGTTGTTTATTGAATTAAATGACTGAAGTGCGAAGAAACAAGAAATATTGACAATTTGTTCATTATAAAACAGGGGCCTCGCCTTCCACCTCCTCCTCATCCTAGTCACCAGCTTGGTAGCACAGTGCTGTGCGCTGGTGTCCCATTTTACAACCACCATTTGACCCAAGTCAGCCAAAGTGGTTGTGTTGGTCACAGAATAAGCTGTTTGGCAAGCAACCACATACTTAACTTTGCTGCTCAACCCACAAATGCATTTTCCTTACAAATGTGGCACCATTTAAGGGGAAATAAACAATCACTGATACAATTAGCCAAACACAAACTTCCTTACTTTTTGTGCTAAGTTTATATTTCACTCCACAGCTTTCAAGCTCCAAATAAATTGGTGCAGTCGCATATTGGCAAGGAGAGTTGTCTGTATGTTTAGCGTGCCTAATGTACACCACATTGCCATGACATATGAAAAACCAGTTATTCAGCCCCTATTACAGGATGTAATATTAGAGTGTGTAGAGGCTGCTCTGATGTCCCATAGCACAATGACAACTTTGTCAGTCTTTGAAAGCAATAATGATGTAACGATGAGGAGCCACAGTGGATTTTCTGGTATGTTTCTAGAGTTAAATACATTCTGGAAATAATTATCTATGAGCTGAAGAACATAGCGTTTGTGCTGTGGATGAATTTACTTGTATAGAGCAAACCTGATGTAAAGCTTCACACATTTTAGCTCACTTTAATTATTAGAAACAAACAAAAATTAAGACCACAACATGAAGATGATTAACACCCTGAGGAAGTCAAAAACATGAAGGACATTTATGTCAAGGCTGTTTGGACAAGTTTTTTTTCTGTGATGGTTTACAGTGTGAAGCACAGCTCACTGTCTGCTTGTCCTATTCTATTTTGGTAGTGATCAACGAGACACTGACAAAAGTCAGCATGAATCTTTGATGGCTGTTTGTGACAGAAAGTTTACAAAATGTATTGTTTTTTCCAGTCTTTTCAGGATAATTCACCAACAATAATTCCTGTAGCTTATTAAGCTAGTCCATTTATAAAAAACACACACGCGCGCACACACACACACACACACACACACACACATCCAACTTTTACCAGTAGCCAAATATATAAACCATGAATATGCATGAAAAAGCTGGACAAAGGATGAGTCAAACACACTTCAGAACATGCGTACACATGGTTTTCTCAGAGTAAGTCAAGCTTGACTTGCTGACATGGAGATCAGTAATAATGTGATGGAAATAAAACAAAAGAAAGTGTCCCGGAGCTTAAATTTCTTATTATTTAATTATTATCACACTGTAGAAAACAGTGGGTGGAGATTGTGGTGTGACCAAAATTACTGCAACCTTGGGATCTTATTGCCTCTGAAATAGTTGTTTCGAAGATAGGACCAGGTCTGGGAACACTACTGCAGTTATCTGTGAGGAATTAGTCAAAACTGCTAATCTGTTGCACAGAAAGTAAATAGAAATTCACATTAGCTATGTAGATTCAGAGTCCAGCCAGAACATTATGTTTTTAAAACAGAAATTCCTCCATAAATTGTTTTTGCAATATAGCAGAATAACTGCAAAATGACAGGCTCTGATACAGGAATATAATCAGTATACAACTAGCAGCAACCAGTTGAGTCGAGTGGGCTGTTGCAGAGACTCATCACAGGAGAGTTGCTCATATTGACACGTTGCCTCATTGCAACATGTTTGTAGTCTGACTTTATTCCTAACTTAGCAATTATATGCAAACCTTTGCCAATTTGTGTGAGAGGATCAGTCCACATTTCCTGTTTGGAGATGGGTCGCTGCCCTATTTGAAGCTTGAAGGTGCTTCACGATTCAGTGCAATCACAGGGCAACCAAGGTTGTTGCCCTATTTACACTCTAGCGTGACTGAGCAACACTAAATCTGGTAAATGCTTTTGATGTGGGAGCTATAAATAACAATAATAGTGTGTAGTGGTTATACATAAGGATGGGGCTTATTGGAGGACCTTATTGATGCCTTGGTATTCTTCTTTTTTTTTTTTTTAACCCTTGCACCTGCTGCCCTTTGCTTTACACATACAGAGCTCTAGCTTCTGCTGATCTGTTTCTGATTGTAGAACTGAGACCAACAGAACACAGTTCCCACAAGTGAGTGTTTCACACAAGATCCAGAGTTTTTGTATACAAAAGATCAGTGATAGGATCGGCTAAATCCATTCATGGTTTAAGAAGGTAATTTTCCTAATACACATGCCCGGTTCATACAAGAAGAAAAGAATATGTGAGAATATGTGTACACATTTCAGTTTTTGTGCACACATACATGATTTCTTATGAATTATCTGTATCTGGATACATCAGATAAAGTGAACTTTGCGTTTACACCTATTCAAATTCATCTTAACTTGGTATTATTCTTTCAAACGAAGAGCTCCATTTGTCATTTTGTCACAGAAAATAAATGTTTTAGAAATAATTAAAACTCCTAAACTGATTTCCTTGACATAAAAGTCCTTCAAGTGTTTGAGAATGAGACTGCTTGACAGGAACCAGCGTCCCAAATTCTCTTGAAAGCTGGAAGGAACTGCTGGAGGCTAGTTTCATTCAGTTGCATGCTTTACGTCTTCCATTATACTCCTAAAATAACATTGCCTATGTGAACGTTAACAAAGCATGATGATTAAACAATCATCTTAAACAAGGTTTATTTCATGTATTTTATGCTGAGGACAGAGCTCAGCCTCCAAACGGCCTTAGCTTTATTCGCCTGCTCTAGCCTTTACAAACATCAGTCCGACACACCAAAAATCTGCTTATCCACAAATGTAAATGTACCAAACCATTTTAGATTAGACTGCATTATGAGAATTAGTCCTTTTAGTTTTCCAACTACATAAAGTCCAGCACAAGCTCGTGTATTGCATGGAGACTGCACTTGAAACAATTATAAAAAGGTCTGCGTGACACGTATTGATCTGTAATTACAGCACACGACTCATCCGCAGAGACTTGGAAATAACAGTTACATCTATTTTTCTAAAACAAAGTATTAATTTGCCATTATTTTTCTATGTACCTTGTTTGTTTCCAAAAGCCCTGCTCTCGGTTGGAATGCTGTGGACTACTGCTGGGACGATGATGATGATTAATGTCATGCGTAGCCTCTCAATGTAGCAAGCAGAGATGGGCAACACTGAAGGCGATGTGTTGCACAGAGTTTGTCTTGATTTTTTGCACATTGATTTGATGATTTTTTTCCCCCCAGTTTTTACTTGGACCTTTCTCTCTGATCATTTGGTATGTTGAAACAAGCAAGTTCAAACCCAGAACTTCGCTGTTCTCTGAAGAGAGCCTGGCTTGCATTTGATCCTTTGACTCCAAACCACTCAATAATACATGTAGACGTGATCAAAAACTTGGTGAGATATGAGAGAAATGATGAAATCAGATTTATCCTTCCAGAAGAACCAAGTGGTGAGATAATACACAATTAACATGGGTGAGATTAAAGATCTTTACAGGACGATACAAATGTTTCCTGCTTTTTTTGGATAAGCTTTCTTTCTCAAGCACATGTGTAGAACAAAACTTGACATGTCCAACACCTGAAGAGGCATCTAATGAACTTTCTTGGGATTTGCAGACTTTTGCACAGAGATTAGAAAACTTGCTGTACTCGATATGTCACTTTTTAAATCTAGTGCTGTTCACAATTGTTTTTATGCATTTTTTTTAAATGTTTGCCACTGTATTTTATACAATGCAACACTTAACAGCTAATTTGAATGTTTCTGTTAACTATATTTAAAGAAATAAAGTGTATTGTGTAAATAGACTTGGGGGGCGGGGATTCGCAGTTGTATAAATAAATAAACAGAATGCTTGCTGATTAAAAGTCGTTATTCTGATTTTCCAAAAATGCTGTCAATGGACGAAGGGGAAAAGCTGAAACATTCCCAGCTGGAAAATCTCAAACACATGAACATTTTTGAACAGACTGCAGATCTCACTCTACTTTTCCAACACACAGTCATCACTGACTGCTTGGTAAATTTAATTTATATGCATCTGGTTTTGTAAATTGTATAAAACAGAGGTATACATCAGATTGGGGAAATGAGAAAACAGCAGCTGACAAAATCCATTACTGTCAAACATTTAATATAAAAAGCAAATGAACATGTTCTTTGTAACAACAATCAATCGTGACTCATGATGCACTTCCTGTAAGTCCAACAAAAGGTGTTTGGAGCGTACATTCAGAAAGTCTAATGGCACATCAGAGCATCTTTTTAACAGCGATACGTTGTTAGCATATCTTACAATTTCTGTTAAAACAGGTGTTTGGTTATTGAATAAAATCTCTTGGAAATCATCCTAAATAAAAAATTTATTTTTGAAGTCCAAATCCAAAAAGGTGTTTATGATGAAGCCCTTTAAAGCCACTACATGCAGATTTTATGAGATTACATTTTTTTTAATAAACTTAAAAGATTATAATATTTGTGCCCTTATTTTGAAAGACAAACATTTCTATTACAGGCTTTAAAATATTGCCCTTCAATGCTGATTTATAATATGTGTGTACATCTTCAGCACATCCCTGTGTAAAATACACAATTAATGCATTATAGTAAGCATTACAAGCAGTGGGTGAATTTTCTGTTGCTGCACAGTCTTAGTATACTGGCCTTCCCTTGCATTCCCGTGAGACAATAATCCAGAATTAGGTTCTGATTGGCACACAAACAGCTTGCCCTCGTGGATTGGGACAGACGACAGCACTTAGATGGCCATTGTGCACAGGATAAACTGTCAACAAGAGGGGGAAGAGTGGTAAATGTGGTCATCCACAACAACTCAACAGGAAATGCTTTTTAAAGCTACAGCAAGATGCTAGCAAACCCCCAACTGCTGCAGGATCCCACAGCTTGCAAACACGTCCTGGGCCCTCTGCACAGCGTGCTTTTGTTTGTCATGCTGAGAACATTTCACACCGTGGGTGTACAGGTGTGCAAGGACAAAACCTCTATGATAGTTTCTCGGAGCCCTGTCAGTGCAACGGAAAAGCTCCAGAGCGATAAAGGGTATAGGTGAGGAGGGGACTATCACTGTAGTTCTTAAGTTTTCTACACATTGCTTGAAAGAAGTGCATATGAAAAAGCAAGTCAGATATAGTGAGATCAGGTTTAAGTTAGGGCTGCTCAATTAATCGAATTTTAATCACGATTACGATCTGGG